AGGGGAATCCCACCACTGCCTGCCTACCCGCTGCCCCCCCCCCGCTTTCTGGAAGCCGGGGAGGCCATAAACAGGACGCGCAGAGACCTCTGGAGGCCAAAAATGGGCCCGTTTTTGCCTCCCCGACCTAGAGGGAGAGACAGAGACAGAGACAGAGACAGAGACAGAGACAGAGACAGAGACAGAGACAGACAGAAGTCCCTCATACACACCCCAAGGCAGCCACATCCCTTCACTATCCTGCTTTCCACCCTCAGGAGCATAACAAATTAAAGTGTCAGGTTTCGATGTCGTCTCAAATAAAATAAATTGCATTTCCAAACACATAGTCTTTGAAGAAATCTTTCATTTTATTAAGCACGACAACCTGTCCCCGATTGTGGCGTAGCCAACACTGACTTCCTGACCCCAAACCTTCCCTTTCCGTTCCCCAATTCTCTGTGTCTCATTGGCCCTCTTCCAAATCACTCTCCCCATATCTACTACTTCAGCTCCCAGGAATGTCACCCCTCCCATCTCATCTCCTAGGGGATATTATCTTCAGGGAAAATAAGTAGGTGAGAAGTCAAGCGTCCTTTTGCCAGCTGCCCCCTCTTCTCCTTCTTATGTCAGCACTAGAGTAAATGCAGGTTGAAGTGCTGACATTAAGTTTAATTTGTGTGTATTGTTTGGACTGTTAAATTGGCCACACGCACCCAGTCACATGATCATCTAGCCAGGCCCACCCAGTTGGTCTGGCCCCCGAACAGTCTGAGGGATCGTGAATTGGCCCCGTTTAAAAGTTTGAGGACCCCTGATCTACATCATGTTTAGAAACCACCCATCACCATCATAGAGTGACTCTGGGGAGTGCATAAGCATTAGAAAGAGCATTCTGAAACTACAACCATTTGACCACTTTTAATCAGTGTTAAGTTTGAAGGCCACTCTTGGGCTTTCTTTTGTTTTTTTTCTAATTCTTATTCCAAGATGGAGGACATTTGCTCAAATCAATCCTCCCTTTCCTCTCCCTGGGATTTCTGCTGAAATAACAAAATTTAATTAGATTATAATTCAGATTATAGTGACCCTGTTCCAAGAGCCCAGTAATATTCTGTTTGTAGTAATAATTTGCAAAAAAAAAAAAAAAGTGCCACCTACGTGGATTTCAGATACCATCTTCAACTTCCGTTTTTATAGTATTCTAATTATGTATTACACCAAGCTGTTCAAAGTGCTTTGCGTTACCCCAGCAGCCTTCATAGAAAAGTGTGTTATGATTAGATCAGAATTAATACCTGCATGTTCCAACAAGAGAAAGGAAATGCATGATTGAGAGATACCAACTGGGTCTCCAGACATCATATTAATGGCATCTCCTCTCACTTCCTGGCTCTTCTCCCCCTGTCCATTTACCACACTCTTCCTAGCGGAAAGAGTCTGGCAGTGAGTTTCTGATATCAGGTCACTCTCTGCATAAAATGAGAGCAAAAGCCAGGGGTCCCAAGGCTGAAGGTTGTCCTCTCCTGACCAGGGGGGAAATGTAAAATTTGTTACTACCGGTTCTGTGGGTGTGGCTTGATGGTGGTGGTGGGTAATGTGACTGGGTGGGCGTGGCCAACTTTTTTTTTTTTTTTAACTTTTCAAAGCATTTTTTCTAATGCTTTGAAAAGCCTCTGGCGATCAGGCAACTCAGCTGGGATCGTCAGAGACTTTTCAAAGCATTTTTTTTACCACCTCTTCGGCCAAGAGGTTGCAGAAAAAAATGCTTTGAAAAGCCTCTGAAGATCCCAGTTGAGTTGTGCGATCATCAGAGGCTTTTTTTTTTAACTTTTAAAAACATTTTGTCATCGGAAGAGGTTGTAGAAAAAAAGCTTTGAAAAGTAAAAAAAAAAAAGCCTCTGATGATCGTGCAGCTCAGCTGGGCATGGTGGGAGGGGGGCACAGGGATTTTTGCTACCGGTTCTCCGAACCACCCTCTGCCATCGCTACTGGATCGGGTGATTCGGTCCAAACCGGGAGCATTTCACCCCTGCTCCTGATCTACATCCATTTTTTTTCTAGATAATATCCAGAAGCCTCTTCAGGAAGAAATGTTGGAAATTATTTTCCTTCAATATTCATCTACCCTGGTGGCACACAGAGCCCTCTCTGTGGTCTTCAGGTTTCCAGGGCTTCGGTGTGCGTGAAGACCAGCTGGCTGGCATACATGTGCATGCTGGAAACCAGAAGTCCAGTTGGCTGGTGCGCACAAATACACTGGCTAGTTGGTCTTTGAGTTTCCGGGGCTCCAGTGTGCGTGAAGACCAGCTGGTCTTTGAATTTTCAGGGCTGTTGTGGTCCGCCAGCAGCCTGTGGAGCTGGCAGCGGAGTCGGACAGCGATGAGGCTGAGGAAGAACATGGGCCAGGCCTGGAGGCTGGGGAAGACCCAGATGAGGGCTCTGCGTCGGAGGCAGAGATGGGGCCAGGGCCATCAGGGAGTGATGTGCGGACTTCGGAGCCTCCAGAGGCTGACAGAAGAGAGGCAGAGGAACAGGAGGAGCCTATTCCTAGTGCACATATGAGAAGAGCTTCCAGAAGGCAGGAGCAGCTAAAGCAGAGAGGACGACTCGGGAGTAGGGCCAAGAGATGATTGGCCCCTCCCATAAGGCTTAAAATACCAGCAATGGCTCTTGGCCTCTTTCCCGGAAAACAACCAATAGCAGGTCCTGATTTTGATGAAGAACAAGTGAAGAATTGCTTCTTGTTTGGCTGTAGTTATTTCTTCTATTCCTGAACTGTTGCCAAGAAAAGCCTTTGGCAGTTTACCTAATTATCCCAAGGTCAGAGATAAACTAAAGACTGGTGTTTTGAGGACTTTGCTTTCATTTAATTTAGAATATGCTGAGAATGAGTCTAATTCTCAGCTGTTTTAATAAAATCTATTTGTTTTTTGGAACTGTTTTGCATTTAATATCAACTATGTGGGCATGGGTCACAAGGGCTCAGTGCCGAAAAGGTTTGCCATCACTGTACTACACCAATGACCAGCCTACCTCAAATATCTGAAGCCACCTCCTTTCTTTAATGTAGGATGGACAAAAACTAATTCTTAACATGGAGTAGAAGACATTTTTCCCCTCACTGAAAACTTCAACAAAAATGGGAATATCTGAAATGTTTAGATACTGAGGCAACTTCAGTTAAAATGGTGGGTTTAAGAATTAAGTGGAGAATACGCATGTACAATTGTTATGGCTTGTCCCCACATTTCTCCCTCCCATCAAGAATTTTATGGACATGAGTAAAGTGAGAGATTTTGCAAATGTTCAGCAAATAGCAATAGCACTTAGGCTTATATACCGCTTCATAGTGCTTTACAGCCCTCTCTAAGCGGTTTACAGAGTCAGCCTCTTGCCCCCAACAATCTGGGTCCTCATTTTACCCACCTCGGAAGGATGGAAAGCTGAGTCAAACTTGAGCCTGGTGAGATTCGAATTGCCAAACTGCTGGCAGCCGGTGATCAGCAGAACTAGCCTGCAATACTGCACTCTAACCACTGTGCCACCGCAGCTCATTGGGTTGTTGGGGTGTTGGGGTTTTTTTGGGGGGGGGAAGTCGGATGGGGAAACAGTATAGGTGGCATTATTTGGGCCCTTTAATACTAGCTATAACCTTCAAAATATACTTCCAAGAAATATTATAGAATAAGAAGAGCAATAGATCTGAGGTGCCAACTAGATTTTGGAACAATTAAAATTCAGGAACATAAATTCAATGACAGATTTGTAGCTGTTCAGAGCACTATGGTATTAAATTCACTCTATTTCCCATCCAGGGAAAATGAAATGGGGAGAACCCCATTCCATCATCTGCAACCAGGTTACAATTAAGAATTTAATTGTACTTCCATAATTTAATTGCACCAGTCAGCGGTGATTTAACCATGACATAGTAACAGCCTTCTTAATGCTATTATGGCAGTAATCAAACTCTATATGCTTGCATCTGTTTACAGACCTGCTAGGGTAGAAACAACTATTCATGCTAAGAGAAACTGGAAGTAACAGAATCACAGGTTCTTTGAAGGGACCTCATTATTTGAAGGACTGTCTTTTTGCAGCTACATCTACTTGACTACTAGAGAGGGAAGGCAGGATAGGCTATGGATCCTTTCTCTTAAGGAGGTACATCTATCCCTAGTGCCGCATAACGGGGTGAGCTCCGGTTACTTGTCCCAGCTTCTGCCAATCTAGCAGTTTGAAAGCACGTAAAAAATGCAAGTAGAAAAATAGGGACCACCTTTGGTGGGAAGGTAACAGCGTTCCGTGCGCCTTTGGCAATATCCTTCAGATAGTTGGGGATTAGAATCTCCAGAGTGGCCATGCTAGCTGTGAATGTTATGTTGTTAGTCTCCCATTATTTTGGAAAGTCCTAAAATAGGTACCATATTTTTTGGAATATAAGACGCACCGGAGTATAAGACGCAGCTTAGTTTTGGGGGAGGAAAATAGAGGGGGGGAATCTGCCTACCAGGTATCCATCTGGCTAGCGTCCTTAGTCTGGTCTACTTCAGCACTAGTTTGCTGGGGTTTTTTATGCCCTGCTTGGAGATATTAAAAAAAACAGCTTCTAAGGCACAGCTGAGAGGAAGCAGCAATGAGAAAAGCAGGCAAAGCACGGGGGAGAGATCGCTTCACTCGGCTAGCGCCTAGTTAGGGCTGGAAAAAAAGCTTCTAAAGAATGGCTGAGAGTCGCAGCAAAGCATGGAGATTGCTTCACTCACTAGCAGGCAAAGCTGGGAAGATCACTAGTGCCTCGTTAGCGCCTTGTTAGGGCTGAATGTTAAGCTACATTCGGAGTAGAAGACGCGCCCAAATTTTCAGCCTCTTTTAGGGGGGGAAAGGTGCATCTTATACTCCAAAAAATACGGTATGCAATACAATGAAGTAAGTAGCATTAATAGGCAGAACTATATGGAACGACTATAATTAGCAGGAGGCTAAAATGTCACACAAGAAGAGGAATACCAGACACTTACTTGTAATAACTGATATCATAGCCCACCCGAATCCAGTGAGGTCTGCCCTGCAAAGCTTCCTTCACTGAATACATGACTGGTTGCATACCTACACAAAGAAAAGTTGTTTGGGAGGGGAAGAAGAGAGATGTGATATGATTTCCGCTGCAGTGGAATGGGAATAACTGTTTTACATATGGCACATTTAGGGATGAAGACAGAAATAATGTGGTTTTTTTTTTAATATCACAAGGACTTTCTGATCCACCTCCGCTGCTGACAAGTTGAAATGCTCTGCAAGTTCAAAGGAAAACCTTTTTTGTGCCAATCCTAGACTGTATGACTTTGATTGAGTTGACCATCTCTGATGTCATCAAGAATCTTTCCGGATGCCTCCGAATGGTTTTCCATTTGGGGAGAAATGAAAAACCGTTTGATGGCTGATCCGATATTTGATTAGTTCTGTGCATCAGTAGTTCAACCTGTATAACTGGAAGTGCCTCGATGTTATATGTGAGACTACAAGTTCTCCTTTCATATTATTTCTGTTTTCAACTTTCCTTGAACCGAAGCCATTGCCATTTCTCTGCTTGATATACATCAAAGTGTACATTATTGCAGTCTGTGCCGTAACCAGGGGTGGGCTGCTGGGGACTCACAGGGGTTCAGGAGAACCTCTAGCTAAGATTCTGTGCAGTTCGGAGAACCCCCAAATACCACACCTGGCTGGCCCTGCCCCACCCAACCCACCCAGCCCCTCACAGGAGTCCCCACACGGCCCGTTTTGGATGCAGGTAAGTGCAGGGCATGAGCGGAGGCTCGGGGAGGGTGAAAAACAGGCCTACCAGAAGTTCCAGAGCCTGGGGAGTCTGTTTTTGCCCTCCCGGAGGCTCGAAGAAAGCCCCTGGAGCCTGGGGAGGGCAAAAATGCCCTCCCCCACTGTGGTGCAGGAGGTTGACTAACCGGGCAGAGAACCCCTTGCTAAAATTTTTGAAGCCCATACCTGGCTGTAACCCCAAATTGCTTTGATTTTATAAAACCGCCATCCCCAGTTCTGACTTGCTCCTGTTCAGCAGGAAAGCTTTATGAGAGGACAGCTGCCTTGCACAAGACTTCCAATCATACAGAGTAACATTTGGCTGAGCAAAACCTCAAGTGCTTTTTCAGATTTCAGAAGTCGGTTAGGTGTCCAGAGCACACATCTGCTTCTGTATCTCTCCCATCTCTCCAATTTTGTAAATTTTGGACATGAAGCTTCCCTCCTTTTGGAATCTGGTGGCAGAAAGGGCAACAGTAATTCTCACAGAGAATTTTCACTGCTTTCCCCAAATTGCAAGATCCAGGAAACTATAATTTTAAAAAATTGATGGGTTTGAAAACAAGCTCAGTTGTAATTTCTGCAGGTTATATTATTAAAGAAAGTATTAAGATTTCTACTGCAATAAAATTGGTATTATGTGATTTCAGAGTTCCATTGCAGTTGAGGGCATTGTCTTCCAGGGGCTTCATTCCTAGCAGTTAAAACCAAGTTTCCAAATGACAAAATCCTCAGCCTCCCTTTCTATGCCTCCCCTGTGGCTGATATTTGAAACAAGTGAGGATTTGAGTCTTCTGACTTTTTTTTTTTTGCCTTCGAATTATAGTTGTTGTTGTTAGTTGTGAAGTCATGTCCGACCCATCACGACCCCATGGAGAACGTTCCTCCAGGCCTTCCTGTCCTCTACCATCCTCTGGAGTGCATTTAAACTCACACCGACTGCTTCAGTGACTCCATCCAGCCACCTCGTTCTCTGCCATCTCCTTCTTCTTTTGCCCTCAATCTTTCCCAGCATTAGGCTCTTCTCCAGTGAGTCCTTCTTTCTCATTAGGTGGCCAAAGTATTTGAGTTTCATCTTCAGGATCTGGCCTTCTAAAGAGCAGTCAGGGTTGATCTCCTCTAAGACCGACTGGTTTGATTGCCTTGCAGTCCAAGGGACTCGCAGGGGTCTTCTCCGAGACTATAATTCAAAGACCTCAGTTCTTTGGCACTCAGCCTTTCTTATGGTCCAACTTTCACAGCCAAACATTGCAATGAGTCATAGTTAACTTCTGTTATATCCATGGTGATGTCCCTCAAGTTTTCTTGGCGATATTTTCGGAAATAGTTGACTGTTGCCTTCTTCTTTCTAGGGCCGAGAGAGAGTGATTGGCCCAAGATCATCCAACTGGCTTCATGCCCAAGGCAGAACTAGAACTCCCGGTCTCCCAGTGTTTTCTTTTGGAAGAAAATTGTCTTCCAAAACTGACACCAAGTTTCTAGCCTAGGCCCTTTAATCCATTATACCAAACTGATTATCTTTGACTTCTCTTACTTTACTTATATTGGATGACAGCATAATAATAAATAATAAGTAAATACCATCTGAACTACTCATTGGTGTCTTCCATCCTTATTTGCAACTATTGATTTACTCCAACTTTACATTCTGTCCACTTTGGGTAACTTTCATTTTCTCTCCATGCCCTCATTTGTCTTATGGCCAGAGAAAGAAAACATAGTTTTCCATTTATTCTACCAAAGAAGGGGATTTTTGTTGTTGAATTTTAATTTATCACTTAGATTTATCACTTTAATTTACCTGCCCAAGGAAGGAAGTGGCTGGAATTCCATGTGACTAGACACCAGTATGGAAACTATCTCAGTACACAATAAGAAAGGTGAAACAGAAGAGCTCTGGAGGATCCATGTTTTAAGGGCTCATTCACTTGACTTTCCCAGGAAAGGGTGTAACCACAGACAAATAATCAACCCATCTCTCAATATGACAACTCTTACCATAATTAAACTGGCTGTTTGGCTTGTCACAGTTGATGATGTTGAAGCGGTAAGGAATGGCAGACTTCATGGCACTGACCTCAAAGTAGAACCATTGATGGTACTGGGCATTGTTGATGTCAGGGTTGAGGATCAAATCATATTCATACCTGGATCATGAAGCACAACAACAGAGCAATAGCAATAGCACTTAGACTTATATACCACTTCATAGAATAGAATAGAATAGAATAGAATAGAATAGAATAGAATAGAATTAAATAGAATAGAATAGAATAGAATAGAATAGAATAGAATAGAATAGAACAGAACAGAATAGAATAGAATTCTTTAGTGGCCAAGAGTGATTGGACACACAAGGAATTTGGTGCATATGCTCTCAGTGTACATAAAAAGACAAGATACATTCATCAAGAATCATAAAGTACAACACTTAATGATAGTCATAGGGTACAAATAAGCAATCAAATCAAACTAGGAAACAATAAATATAAATCGTAAGGATACAAGCAACAATGTTACAGTCATGCAGTCATAAGTGGGAGGAGATAGGTGATAGGAACAATGAGAAGACTAATAGTAATAGTAATGCAGCCTTAGTGAATAGTTTGACAGTGTTGAGGGAATTATCTGTTTAGCAGAGTGATGGCATTCGGGAAAAAACTGTTCTTGTGTCTAGTTGTTCCGGTGTGCAGTGCTCTATAGCGTTGTTTTTAGGGTAGGAGGTGAAACAGTTGATGTCCAGGATGCAAAGGGTCTGTAAATATTTTCACAGCCCTCTTTTTGACTCGTGCAGTATACAGGTCCCCAATGGAAGGCAGGTTGATAGCAATTGTTTTTTCTGCAGTTCTAATTATCCTCTGAAGTCTGTGTCTGTCTTGTTGGGTTGCAGAACCAAACCAAACAGTTATAGAGGTGCAGATGACAGACTCAATAATTCCTCTGTAAAACTGTAAAGCGGTTTAAAGAGTCAGCACCTTGCCCCCAATAATCTGTGTCCTCATTTTACCCACCTCGGAAGGATGGAAAGCTGAGTCAACCTTTTGCCGGTGAGATTTGAACTGCCAAACTGCAGCTAGCAGTCAGCTGAAGTAAGCCTGCAGTGCTGCAATCTAACCACTGCGCCACCTCAGCTCAAACATCCACAAGATACAAAGTAAGTTTGTTTTAGAGCACTAATTGGCAGAATCCATGGTATATTCATCCACATATTAGAGTCATGATACATAGCTAGCCAAGGAGAACAGTAGAAACCTAGAGACCTAGTCATCTGGCATGCACTGGGAAGTAGATGTGCCATAGGGCTGGGCAATCTGCTGATATAAGCAAATTATTTAGCATTAGCCTTAAGATATATGGTGGCTTGGCTGAATGGCTGGAACTCCAAACCACTGCATTCTACATAAGTCAGTGTCAATACCTGCACTGCCAAATATCTGTCTGTCTCCTGAAACAGTACTTTTGAGAGTGAGCATGACCAATTCAGTAATCTAGTAATTTCTTCCTTGAGTCATTTCAGTTTTCTGAAAATAACTTTTCTTAACAACCGTGCTGTGAAGATATTCCCCTACTAATATGCTGGGTTTCCAAAAAGTTAAACATTATGGTCCATATTTTCCCCGCTAGATAACGTTGGCAAAATCATAAGCAACCGTTTGCCTTCCATCATGACTTTTCCCCCCAAACGGCCTGGAACACCTCAGATATTCTGCTGGAACCATTCGCAATACTTACTCCCGCACTTGGATGGCTTTGCGGAGATTCCCAGATTCAAATTTGGAAAAGAATTGTAAGCCGTTTTGTTGATCCGGATGCAAAGAACTGAAACAAAAGGCAACACGATTAGTGCAAAGCGGACTGAGAAATAGCTAGACCTGTTAACCACTGAAGGAATTAAGCAGAAAGCACTGGGACTCACAGAAACAGAGGTAGTTCATAATGATTAGGTTCCCCATAGTTTTCTAATTGTATTTACATCTGTCCTTTTTTGCTGGGAGAACGAGGTGGTTTATATAGAGATCCCAGTGCATTTAACTCTACAACCACAATCCTTTGATAGAAAATTACTCCCCAAACTAATAGCAAGATTTTCATACAAACCAGTACTTGAACCTTCCTCCAGTTCAAGTCCAACTATAGTGTCACCACACTACCTTGGCTGTCTCCAGAAGAGGACCCTCCAGGGAAGATTTTATGAATGTGCAGAGGGGGAGGAAGGATGTCAAGAGTCCATGACTAACAAAAATTCACTTACTCAGAGCTGTCTAAACTGAACACAACTCGCTTGATTATATCAGCTGGTTGGACCACACGGCGGATGTCGTCAAATATTTTGGCCCTGTGGGAGGGGGGGAAAAAAGAGCTGAGGTGGTGGTGAAGGACAGGCCCAGAAGGAAACTTCTTGTTGGGATTCCTTTTTTAAAAAAAGAATATCTCTTTCTTTCACTCTGGTCCTGTAGAATAGGGGTCTCCAAACCTGGCAACTTGAAAATTTATGGACTTCAACTCCCAGAATTCCTCAGCCAGCAAGAGGAATTCTGGGACTGGAAGTCTATAGGTCTTAAAGTTGACAAATTCAACTTTATAGCAGGAGACCACTGCTATAAAACATGGAGTGCAGGGGTGAAATTCAGCAGCTTCTGACAGGTTCTGGAGAACCAGTAGTGGAAATTTTGGGTAGTTCGGAGAACCGGCAAATACCGCTTCTGGCTGGCCCCAGAGCAGGGTGAGAATGGAGATGTCAGGTTACGATCTCGTCTCAAATAAATTGCATTTCCAAACAAATAGTCCCCCCTCCCATCCCATCTCCTAGGGGATAATATCTTCAGGGAAAATAAGTAGGTGAAGAGTCAAGTGTATGCAGTATCCTTCCCCTGCCATGCCCACCAGGCCACACCCACCAAGCCACACCACGCCCACCAAACCACGCCCACAGAACAAGTAGTAAAAAAAAATTGAATTCCACCACTGATGGAGAGCCATGTTGCAGCATTAAGTGGTCCAATTTCACAGTCCTATCCTATGCCTGAACACTTCAATCCATCCCCCAAATTAAATTTGTTCCACTTGTCACAAACAATCTGCTGAAGTACTCCTTATTGGGTTGTGGGGTGATGTCTTCCCCAAAGCTCCAACTTTGCTTCCTTTGGCAGATGCTGCCTCAATATAGTAGTGGCCAAAATTGTGGAAAACTTTTGGGAAAAGTGTATTTTCTAAAACTAGCTAATAACACTACTTTTTTTTTGTTTTCGGAGTAGTACCCTAAAATTATATATCAATGGAGAGATAATTGAATCAAGAATGTCATGCAATAACTTTTAGGAAGAATTTGCTATTAGAATAGCACTTACAGTATAAAGAAGAAAAGTGAAACACGTAGAAAAAATGAGATATACAAAAATTATCACCATAGGAAAAAAACGAGATGTACAAAAATGATCCCCATGTCAGTTAATACTTAGTTGGGTAACCTTTAGCATGAATGATGGCCTTACAACATCTTCCCATGGAGTGAACCAAGTCTTTTATTTCTGCAGCTGTTATCATGTGAAACCAAGATTGAATGATTGCTTCTATTAACTGGGTTTTATTCTGACTAACCAGTTTCTTTAGTCGGCTCCATAAATTTTTAATTGGGTGAAGGTCTGGGCTATTCCCAGGCCATTCCAGCAATGGAATAGGATTATCTTGAAACTCCAAAAAAAGTGGTGTTATTAGCTGTCAAACTTCAAAAATACACTTTTCCCAAAAGGTTTCCACAATTTTGGCCACTATGTAGATACTTTATGACAGTGTTGCTCAACATTTCCCCCATTGACCCCTTGCTATCTTCCTATCGCTATATCTTTATTACAGGGTTAAAAGTAAAGGGAGAGAAACTTACTTTTGGATGCCACATCTCCTTTGCTGTAAAGGCTGGCTATACGGAGGGGGTTGATGACCCCAGAGATCTGGGAATGCCAATACTCTGTAGTCTGGAATGGAGCGGGTGCAGTTAGCCCTTGCCATAAATAACTTAGGTTTGTGGAAAGGGATGTTCCCAGGATGCCTCTCCAAAAGCTTTGTGACCACTTCAGAAGCTTCTTCTCCCTCCTGGCAGCCAGATGCACAGGAATTCATAAGTTGGAACTGGGACGTCTGCCTGTTCTGTAACCTTTCTTGGGCTCTATGACCCTTACTGGAGATTGTGTCTTTTCTGAAAGAAGTCACCAAAGGTTCTGATTCACCCAACGTTATTTTTTCAGGTTCTTGAGGTTTCTGCTTTCTTTCCTCTCTGTGTACTGGCCTCTCTAAAGTCCTCTGGATCTGCTTTTCTTCTTCAATACTTTGGTCCCCTTCTCGATTGCATTTGCGCTGGCACTTCAGGGAAGCAGCACATGGAATGACACGGAGGCAGGAACTGCTCAGGGTCCCAGGGAGGTCCGCAGAATTCAGTTCATCGTTAGGCTCCCATTCGTTTTCCTTGAAATCGGGAGAAAAATCAGACCACCAACCATTATGGATCATTGCATACAGCAGCTTTCTGGAGGGGCTAGAAAGTCAAAAGCCAAGGAGGATCTCACCTGAATGTTATATTGAAGTTCAGGACACATGACCATATACTGATTCAGTTCCGATTCATGTCGGTCGAGCTCCGGCCTTGATAGGAGCTTGTTAATATCCTTCTCTAGATCATCGTCCTTTCAAAATAAGAATGAAAAGTAGGGAAGAAACCTTCTCCTTGGATTCATCTTCACCCATAGTCTTGGCTGAAGCCTACTCCCAGGGTTGGGCTGCTGGGGGTTCGCAGGGGTTCAGGAGAACCTCTAGCTGAGATTCTGTGCAGTTCAGAGAACTCCCAAATCCCACTCCTGGCTGGCCCCACCGACCCCACCCAGCCCCTCCAAGGAGTCCCCACGTGGCCCATTTTGGATGCAAGTAAGTGGAGGTTGTGCACGAAGGCTCAGGGAGGACAAAAAACAGGCCTACTGGAAGTTCAGGAAGGCCGGAAACGGGCCCATTTCCAGAGGGCCTCTTGAGCTTGCGGAGCCCATTTTCACCCTCCTGGAGGCTCAAGGAAAGCCTCCAGAGCCCGGGGAGGGCAAAAACACCCCCCTCCCCTGTGGTGCAGGAGGCCGACTAGGCCATGCCCACTGGCCATGCCTACCCAGCAACAGGGCAGAGAACCCCTTGCTAAAGTTTTTGAAGCCCACCCCTGCCTACTCCTATTATATTCGATATACTACGATCACAACTATCACCAGTACAATAGATAAGGAATGTCACAGGATATTTCTGAATGATAGCTTCCTAGGGCCATGCTTCTTGAGATTCCTAGATGCATTCCCCAACTTCTGAAGGCCCCAATTCGTGAACTGCACTTAAATAAACTCTTTTGAGGTGATGGGGAGGAAGAAAGAAATATATAAACATTTCACCATGTATTTGGACTCATTGGTGGTAATTTTTGACGATAACAGTGGATCATATCTATCCACAATTATAGAATAGAATAGAATAGAATAGAATAGAATAGAATAGAATAGAATAGAATAGAATAGAATAGATAGAATAGAATAATTTATTGGCCAAGTGTGATTGGAGACACAAGGAATTTGTCTTTGGTGCATATGCTCTCAGTGTACATAAAAAGAAAAGATACGAATAGAATAGAATTAGAATAGAATAGAATAGAATAGAATAGAATAGAATAGAATAGAATAGAATAGAATAGAATAGATGAGTAGAATAGAGTAGAGTAGAGTAGAGTAGAGTAGAATAGAATAGAATAGAATAGAATAGAATAGAATAGAATAGAATAGAATAGAATAGAATAGAATAATTTATTGGCCAAGTGTGATTGGAGACACAAGGAATTTGGTGCATATGCTCTCTGTGTACATAAAAAGACAAGATACATTTGTATCTTATGAAGAATAAGAAGATAACTATTAAAACAGATACCTGCTGGATGGCAATTTAGCCTTGCAGACATCCAAAAGTCAACCATCAGGACCTGTAGTTCAACATTATTTATAACACAAGTCTAGATATTTCTATAGCAAAATAAGATTTCTGTTCATAGAAATCACTGACTAGAATTCATAAAATGGAGAATTGAAGTTATGTATGTAACTATAATAGAATGATAATGGATAAAACAAATGTATAAGTAAGATAGATAGAAGGAAGATGTCTTTAGATATGTAAATACTAAACAGACTAATTGTATATAAGTAATAAGGTATATATGATACTTATCTTTCATTTTTCGTATATATGGCACAAAGAATGCCAGGACGGTTACACCGTGTCCAATCTTTTAATATGTGTGTAATAAAACTTTAATAATAATAAAAAAAAGATTTCTGTTCAGAAATAGCAAAATGATGACAACAGTAACAGAGTTGGAAGGGACCTTGGAGGACATCTAGTCCAACCCCCTGTTCATGCAGGAGACCTATACTAGGGATTCGAACCACCGACCTTTCTGATCGACAAGTTCAGCGTCTTAGCTGCTGAGCCACCTAGCCAATCGACCAGTTGCCAATGCATAAAGTATCCCAAGTTTGTTCCACCACGGATTTTGCAGTAAAGTATGCTTAGATCCTGGTTTTCTCCCATCCAGACAAGAGTCAGACTTAAAACCAACTTCCTGTAAATATAGCGGTTATTATAATGTTCCTACAGACTTTGGCCTGATCTGAATCTTGCTTAGCAAGGTAGTTTTATGGCTGACTGGGGCTTTGGATCGCTTAGAATATCTGGCAGACATTCAGAAAGGACAAAAAAAAAAAAAAATCCCTGCTGATAGCTCCTCCAATCTCTCATCTATTAAAAGTGAAATGAATTAAGGCTTGGCTACCAAATACATAAGGGGATGCGGTGGCTCAGTGGCTAAGATGCTGAGCTTGTTGATCAAAAGGTCGGCAGTTCAGCGGTTCGAATCCCTAGTGCCATGTAAAGGGATGAGTGTCAGCACTTCAAGCTGCATTTACTCTAGTGCTGACATAAGAAGGAGAAGCGAAGGCATCTAGAAAGGGACATTCGACTTTTCACCTACTTATTTTCCCTGGAGATAATATCCCCTAGGAGATGGGATGGGAGGGGGGAAATTCCTTTGAGCTGGAGCAGTAGATTAGGGGTAGAGTGACTTGGAAGATGGCCAATGAGTGCAGGGAGTGGGGAACGGAAAGGGAGGGTTTTGGGTCTGGAAGTCAGTGTTGGCTGCGATGGAGTCGGAGTTAGAATGTCGTGCTTAATAAATGCGAGTTTTTCTTCAAAGACTTTGTTTGAAATGCAATTTATTTGAGACGACCTCGAAACCTGACGATGAGCTCCCGTTACTTGTCCCAGCTTCTGCCAACTTAGCAGTTCGAAAGCAGGTAAAAAATACAAGTAGAAAAATAGGGACCACCTTTGGTGGGAAGGGAACAGCGTTCTGTGTGTCTTTGATGTTTAGTCATGCCGGCCACATGACCACGGAGACGTCTTCGGACAGCGCTGGCTCTTCAGCTTTGAAACGGAGATGAGCACCGCCCCCTAGAGTCAGTAACGACTAACGACATATACCAAACACATGGCAGCTTGCTACAAAACAAGGTTACTTACTTCCTCCTTGTTTTCAGCGTCTTCATTCTCACAGTCTTTCTCAATCTCTTCCTCAGCGTCTTCATCAAAATAATCTGCAAAGAAAAGACAACTAAGCAGAGAATCAACAATCAAACTATCCAAAGAAATGAGCTCTTCCCCACATGGGTGGCTCAGGCACTGATAGCATCCACAACACAAAAATAAAAGAAAGAAAAACTTTCTTTCTTTTTTTAAAAAAACTGTTCAATAAAAATTATTTTAAAAAAATAATAAGTCTCATCAAAGGAGAAACAATATAACTATGCATTTGTAACGGGGGGAAAAGCAATATGCAAAACAAGACATTTTAACCAAAATCACAAGCAGACACTTGAGGGCAATTTGCACGCATCTTAAAAAGAATTTGCTGTCTGCTCCACTTTTTTTTTTTAATCTTTTATTCAGATGACATAATTGCAGGAAGTTATTAACTGATCCTGCATGTTTTTGTCTTAGTTGATGGTTTGGAGTTCCGCCATCCTGCCAAACTATGACAAGAAATCATGCTGCATGAGTTTCTTAAATCTCAAAGTTCTTCCCCTCCTCCCAACCAGCAGCCATACTGGTCATGAAGGGAAACCATCCCTCAAGACAATACTATCTCCAAATTAATAAAACGCTTACAAAATAACATGCAAGTTTTTGCAGTTCCAAAAACGATTTAATTGCTTCATTCCCTCGTCCCTTCTTGGTTGGAATTTTAATTTTCCCTGCCACTTCCATCCCCATCCCGCTTCTTCATCAGCAAGAATCTTGATCGCAGTGGTGAAATGTAAAATTTGTGACTACCGGTTTTGTGGGCGTGGCTTAGTGGGGGTGGTGGTAATGTGACTGGGTGGCCATGGCCAACTTTTTTTTTTAACTTTTAAAACCATTTTTTCTACAACCTAGAGGTTGTAAAAAAAATGCTTTTAAAAGCGTCTGATGATCAGGCAACTCAGCTGGGATCGTCAGAGGCTTTTAAAAACTTTTTTTTTATCCCAGCTGAGTTGCCTGATCGTCAGAGGGTTTTTTTTCTTTTAAAAGCATTTTTCTACAACCTCTTCAGCCAAAGAGGTTGTAGAAAAAATGCTTTTAAAAGCCTCTGACGATCCCAGCTGAGCCACGCGATCAAAAGAGGCTTTTTTTTTTACTTTTAAAAGCATTTTTTCGGCCGAAGAGGTTGTAGAAAAAATGCTTTTAAAAACAAAACAAAACAAAAAGCCTCTGATGATTGCGCTGCTCAGCTGGGCATGGGGGGCGGGCAGGGATTTTTGCTACTGGTTCTCCGAACCACCCGCCCCCATCGCTACCGGATCGGGCGATCCGGTCCGAACCAGGAGCATTTCACCCCTGCTTTATTGGCTTTACAGATAGAGGAGAATATTTGTAGCTCAGGGTTGAAACGAGGGGTCCTAGGTGCTCTTTGAGCTTGCTTATTTTCTTCCAGATGTTTCTTTACCCAAGATCATCAGTGCACTGATGTTGTTACCTAGATTGATAATGAAACGTCTGCAAGGAAACAACCAAGCTTGGAGGGCACCAAGGACACCTCATTTATTGGCCTTGTTTGGCATATTCTTGTGCAGTGTGCAGCAGCTGCCAAAAAAGCCAACACAGTTCTAGGCTGCATAAACAGAGGGATAGAATCAAGATCACATGAAGTGTTAATACCACTTTATAATGCCTTGGTAAGGCCACACTTGGAATACTGCATTCAGTTTTGGTCGCCATGATGTAAAAAAGATGTGGAGACTCTATAAAGAGTGCAGAGAAGAGCAACCAAGAGGATTAGGGGACTGGAGGCTAAAACATATGAAGAACAGTTGCAGGAACTGGGTATGTCTAGTTTAATGAAAAGAAGGACCAGGGGAGACATGATAGCAGTATTCCAATATCTCAGGGGCTGCCACAAAGAAGAGGGAATCAAGCTATTCTCCAAAGCTCCTGAGGGCAGGACAAGAAGCAATGGGTGGAAACTAATCAAGGAGAGAAGCAACCTAGAACTAAGGAGAAACTTACTGACAGTGAAAACAATTAATCAGTGGAACAATTTGCCTCCAGAAGTTGTGAATGCTCCAACACCGGAAGTTTTTAAGAAGATGTTGGATAACCATCTGTCTGAAGTGGTTTAGGGTTTCCTGCCTAAACAGGGGGTTGGACTAGAAGACCTCCATAGTCCCTTTCAACTCTTCTCTTCTCTTCTCTTCTCTTCTCTTCTCTTCTCTTCTCTTCTCTTCTCTTCTCTCTTCCCTTCCCTTTCCTTTCCTTCCCTTCCCTTCTTTTCTCTGCCATGCCATGCCATGCCATGCTATTCTATTCTAACCGAAGATATTTTGCCTCCTGTGGAGATGTATCCTTCTGCAAACATCTACATTACCCTAAGCAGGCTGCATGGGTCTCAGTGCATGGGTGCATATTGTGCACTACAAAGCAGAAGTTCGGTGGTTCAAACCCCTAGTATACATCTCCTGTGTGAGCAGGGGGTTGGACTAGATGACCTCCAAGGTCCCTTCCAACTCTGTTACTGTTAAATAGATCAACCCTCATTCATCTGAATATTGGAGACAGAGTGAATCCCATTTTTTATTCCTTTTTCTCCTTGGGACTTTGAAACAACTTACCTTCAGGTCTGGGAAGTGAAGGTTCTGTTTTCCCAGGAATGGGGAAAGAATAGGAACTGCTAATTGCAGCTGAAGGAAAGGGCATCTTGGGATAGGTTTTCCTCAGGATCTGAGTCACTGTATTGACAATAGGGTCCAGATTCTTGCTGAACAGGCTGCCCTAAACAAGAGCAAAAAAAATAAAATAAATGAACATTCAGATTATCATTTTTCTCCCTGGCTCAGATAGCTCCACCGACGAAGAATGCAAGGGACCCATTCTGTTCAATTCATTATAGTAAATGTGATTATTTCCCATGTGTTTTTCTATCAAATTAACAGTTACAACTTGGCGGTCATTGTTAGAGGGGATCTGAAGGCCCTATGCGCAGTTCTCAGGAGCACAAGCAACAAAGTTGTTCTACTTCTGGTTTATTTGTTGATAAATAGATGTTTAGGGCTGCGATGTATTCACTTTGCAGAGTTGCCTTTATTCCAGAGAGGATTGACAGTTTTTTCCGCTCATAACAAATGGGATGAAAAAACCAATCCCATTCTTATGTAGATGGTCATCACATAGCTTAGCAAGAAAGATATACGATGGCTAGGACGTTCTCTTTTCTTCTCTCTGGAGACCACAGTGTGTGAGCTAGCAGCAAAATCTCCAACACGACAAAATGCTACACTTTTAAAATGGTTAAAAAAAATTGTTCTGATGATAGAGGTCATTTAGCTCTTGGAATAAAAATATTTTAATTTGTTGGAAGCGCTGAGCAGGTGCTTATCGTAAAATCACAATCACATCGTACCTATCATTTCAGGATCCCCTTCATGCAGATTTTCTTTCCCCAGTTTTAGCGTTTGGAATTAACTCAGCTTGTTTGTGAAATGGAACCAATACAAAAAAGATGCAATTTGCTAGCATGACCAACTAAGATTGTGCCCATTTGCTTTATCCCTCAATCCAAAGTAGTCCAAGATGCAAAATCCCGTAACAGGATTAAATATTTTAAGATTAACAAAAAGCTCTGGGGTCGAAGACATATTTTGCAAACCTCCCTCTATTTCTATAAAGGGAGACGGAGAGAATTTTGTTTGCTTTGCATTTTTTGAGCGAACAAATCTCACTCTCGTATCTCTCGGACAATTATGTGTTTCAGAAAGAGTCACACTTCTCACTTCTCTGAATTTGGTGATGCAGTGTGTCTGTCTATGAAGGAAAGCTGCATAGGAGAATACAGAGGTTTAAGGACATTGCATACAAAACGGACATTTGATTAAAAAAAAAAATCCAATACTGAAAGAAATGTGAAAGTGACACTTCAAAAAAATGCTTACAAATGCAGAACCAAGATAGAGAAGAGATTGAATGAATTATTTATCCATAATTCTAAGAGGAAATATTACATGGTTTAGGGAAAATTCTTTTAAAGTTGTACCTTAAAACTGGATTAGTTAGTAAAGAAAATAAGACTCAGCCTGCAAGACATTGCTGCTCAAGTTATACTTATATTCACAATTTCCAAAAAAACAAGGGGTGTTGGGAATAAATTAGAGTGTTTATACTTTATGGAGGACAGATCTCTCTTTCAAGGACTTTTGAACTTTCGGTTTGAGGATGATTTCTCAAGACTAAGACTACCTAATCCAAGTCTACAATACAATAAAGATTTTTTAAAAAAGCACAAGAGATCATAAATCTAAACATCAATATTTCACCCTTGGCTATGAGTTCCTTTTGATCCCAGTCCAAATTTGCTATTTCTACTTAAATGAAAATAAATATGCAAAATCATCGCACAATAATTACACTACATTTTCCATGGGGTATGTCTGTTTTTAAGTGATGTATTTCATCCTTGGGACAATTTGTAAGTGGCCATTATGGACTAAATCTAAAGAAGATAAATGGTATGGAATGCCTTCGCAACTACAAAGTCTTAACTCATTAAAGACACATCATGTGTCCTGGAATATTGACTGAATATATATTACAGATCAATTTATCATTAAGACAGAGAACTTAAACCCTAGTGTGTAAGTCAAATGTTTTAATTTCAGTTAGTTTACCAAAATGTGGTCCATCTTTCAAACTGAACCTAATGTTGGGTTCTGCTACTTGTTATGGACCTGTCAGGGACAATTTCTTGAAGCAACCATTAACCAATAGCAGACAATATTGGTAGCTCAGAGTTGAACTGAGGGGATCAAAGGGAACCAAGGATTCCCCTATTAACCCCAAAAATTCAAGTAAGATTGAAGGATCCTTGGTGCTCTCTGTGCTGGCTTGTTTTTTTGCAGACATTTCATTACCCTAACTAATTTAATTTAATTCAATTTAATTATTTAATTTAATTTAATTTAATTTAATTTAATTTAATTTAATTTAATTTAATTTAATTTAATTTAATTTAATTTAATTTAATTAATTTAATTTAATTTAATTTAATTTAATTTATTAAATTTATATGCCGCCCCTCTCAAAGACTCAGGGTGGCTCACAATACATTTAAAAAATCATTATAAAAAGACATTGAAAAATTGAAAAACATTAAAAACATTAAAAACTCATTCACACCATTTATGGCCGGATCTCACCAGATCACAAGAACGAGATCAACGGCCCCAGGCCTGCCGGAAAAGCCAGGTCTTCACCGCTTTTCAGAAGGCCAATAGGGTGGGGATGGTCTGGATCTCAGGAGGTAACTGGTTCCAGAGAGCTGGGGCAGCCACAGAGAAGGCCCTCCCCCGCGGGCCCGCCAGCCAGCATTGTTTAGCTGACAGGACTCGGAGGAGACCAACTCTCTGGGATCTTACCGGTCACTGGGAGCTATGCGGCAGAAGGCGGTCTCGAAGATGTTACTAGGTAACATCATCAGTGCTAGCACTGACTAGCAGTGATGATGTTACTAGTTAGGGTAATGAAATGTCTACAAGAAAACAAGCAAGCTCAGAGAGCACCAAGGATCCCTCATTTCAACCCTGAGCTACAAATATTCTCCTTTATTGGTCAAGCAAGATTCTCTACTTTTCCACTGCTTTCACCATCTGCGAACACATACAGATGAGGATTAACTGGGGTCATTAAGGGGAAAGAGGACAATCTACCTATTCCCCATAGTGTGTGGCTTCAACCTAACAGGACAAAAATGGTGTCCTGGTACGTTAAGGTGTAAATAAACTCAGGGCAAGCAGAAGACAAGCTCAAGAAGAGCCACGGTGGCGCAGTGGTTAGAATGCAGTACTGCAGGCTACTTCTGCTGACTGCCGGTTGCCTGCAATTTGGCAGATCGAATCTCACCAGGCTCAAGGTTGGCTCAGCCTTCCATCCTTCTGAGGTGGATCAAATGAGGACCCAGATTGTTGGGGGCCATAGGCTGACTCTGTAAATTGCTTAGAGAGGGCTATAAAGCACTGTGAATCGGTATATAAGTGTATTGCTACCACAAAGGCAGTGGTGAAATTCAAATTTTTTTACTACCGGTTCTGTGGGGGTGGCTTGGTGGGGGTGGCAGGGGAAGGATACTGCAAAATCTCCATTCCCTCCCCACTCCAGGGGAAGGATACTGCAAAATCTCCATTTCCTCTCTACTCCAGGGGAAGGATACTGCAAAAATCTCCATTCCCACCCTACTCCAGGGGAAGGATACTGCAAAATCTCCATTCCCACCCCACTCTGGGGCCAGCCAGAGGTGGTATTTGCTGGTTCTCCGAACTACTCAAAATTTCCACTACCGGTTCTCCAGAACCTGTCAGAACCTGCACAAAGGCAACAGGGATATATAATTTCAGGAGTAGAAGTAGCAAGTCTTCTACCACAATCATCTGGTACAATTGGCAGGCCGGAGCTCAACTATCTCTAAGACTGAGCTAAACTCAGGATGTTACACAAACATGGACACTGAATGTTTGCTTACCTGAGTTGTTCTGAAAAGCATCTCCATGCCATGAATAAAAAGGAAACTTTCTCTCCCAGAGCGGACATTGGTGATATGCTTGAGACAAAGCAAAAGACCCCTCCGGATTAAAATGTAGTTATTTGAAGTGTCTCGGTGATGCCAATCTTGATACAACCGGATCAGCTGACAAACATAACCTCGGTGTACAGCTCGGCGACTGTTGGACTCTGTAAGCAAAGAGCAAATCGAGTGAGCGGCTACAGGAAATGTGCGCAGATGGATACAGTTCAATTATTAGACATTGTAATGAGTGGGAAAAATTTTGGTTCACTGAAAAGATGAAAGGAAAGGTAGCTGGCTTGTCCACCCAGAAAGAACAGAAGCTTGAGAAAAATCAAATGCCAAGGAACCATTCAGGAGGTTGGGTTTCCCGTCTCAGGTAAACAACAACAAATGTCTTATACATTGGCAAAAAAAAAAAAAAAAAAAAAATCAGAACATAAAATACAAGCTAGATGGACATGACCTTGTAGATGACCTTCACTCTGTCAAGGACCATGGAGTACTCATTTCTAAAGATCTAAGAATGTAACAACATTGCCAAAAAGGTATTAAGAGTTGTTAATCTAACCTTGCATAGCTTCTTCTCTGGTAATATTGTACTATTAACCAGAGCATACAAAACATTTGCTAGACCAATTCTCGAATACAGTTCATCTGTCTGGAACCCCACACTGCATATCGGACATTAATACAATTGAGACAGTCCAGAGATATTCCACGAGAAGAGTCCTCCACTCCTCTGCTCGTAACAGAATACCTTAAACCACCAGGCTTGAAATTCTGGGGTTAGACAATTTAGAACTACGCCAACATTTGTCTGACCTAAATCAGACAATAAAATTATCTGCCACAATGTGCTACCTGTCAATGACTATTTCAGCTTCAACCACAACAATACACGAGCACACAATAGATACAAACTCAAGATAAACTGATCCAAACTAGACTGCAGAAAATATGACTTCAGTAACAGAGTGGTCAATGCCTGGAATGCACTACCTGACTCTGTGGTTTCTTCCCCAAACCCCCAAAACCTTAACCTTAAACTGTCTACTGTTGACCTCACCCCATTCTTAAGAGGTCTGTAAGGGGTGTGCATAAGTGCACCAGTGTGCCTACCGTCCCTGTCCTAATATTCCTTTTTACTTACTCTTTTCATGTATTCAAATTATCTTTATACTTTTACCTGTTATCTTATATATGTTTGACGAATAAAATAAAATAAAAAAATAATAAATAAATAAATAAATAAATAAATAAATAAATAAATAAATAAATAAATAAATAAATATTTTCCTTTCCTTTGGGAAGTCATGTTTTCTCTTCCATAGCTGGCTGAATTAGGATGGCAAGCTAGGATCTATGAAATGATTTGAGTCACGGTGGCGCAGTGGTTAGAGTGCAGTACTGCAGGCTACTTCTGCTGACTGCCGGCTGCCAGCAGTTTGGCAGATCGAATCTCACCAGGCTCAAGGTTGACTCAGCCTTCTATCCTTCCAAGGTGGGTAAAATGAGGACCCAGATTGTTGGGGGCAAGAGGCTGACTCTGTAAACCACTTAGAGAGGGCTTTAAAGCTGCATATAAGTCTAAGTGTTATTGCTATTTACAGAATTTGTAAATACAAATCTGTTGTTTTTGATGGACCAGAATCATTGTGAGAGCTTGTACTACTAAATGTGCACAATGATATGTGGGGATGAAAGAGAGCATATCCTGAATCTGGATACTGGCTGAGGCAATTTTTTGAGAGTAAACAAGATAGGAGGAGAATAGAGTAGAGTAGAGTAGAGTAGAGTAGAGTAGAGTAGAGTAGAGTA